GAGGGTGGGACTGGATGATCCTGAAGGTCTCTTCCATCCTTGATGACTCTGGGATTCTGTGAAAGCAAGGGGAGCCTTGTTACAGAAGTGAGACCACGTGTTGACACCTGACCTTGCAGGGACATGACACAGTGAGAGGACCAGAAGAGACCTGCCTGTCCCATATCAATTCCCCCAGGAAGAAAGAGCAAGGAGGGGAATTGCAGCCCAGGAGCAAACCTGCCCACATTTTCCTCCCCAACACCGCCCAGGGATGTGCAGCTCTGAGCTGGGCTTGGTGCATGGGCAGGATTTAATTAGACTTCTCTCACTGCTGTGCTTCCAGGTGGTGCCGGGTGAAATCCCAGCTCTGGTGAAATCCCAGCTCCAGTGAAATCCCAGCTCCAGTGAAATCAGTCTCCTGCTACTGATTAAGAGAATCAGAGAATCCCAGAATGGTTTGGGTTGGGAGGGACCTTAAAGATCATCCAGCTCCACCCCTGCCATGGGCAGGGACACCTTCCAACCTCCCAGGTTGTCCCTCTCTTACTCTCCAGACCCTTCCTTGCTCTCCAGTCCCCATTCCTTGTTCTCCAGCCCGGGGCAGAGCTGGGCTGGGCTGGGCTCAGGGGAGGTGCCTCCTGCAGACCCTTCCCAAGGTGGGACAGAACCACACCAGGGTTTGGGCTGGAAAGGCCCGTAAGGATCATCTCATTCCACCCCCTGCCATGGGCAGGGACACCAAAAACCAGCCCAGGTTGCTCCAAGCCCCATCCAGCCTGGCCTTGGACACTTCCAGGGATCCAAGGGCAGCCACAGCTTCTCTGGGAATTCTATCCCAGGGCCTCCCCACCCTCCCAGCCAGCAATTCCTTCCCAATATCCCATCTATCCCTGCCCTCTGGCAGTGGGAAGCCATTCCCCTTGTCCTGTCCCTCCATCCCTTGTCCCCAGTCCCTCTCCTGCTCTCCTGGAGCCCCTTCAGGCCCTGNTTCTCCAGGTGAACCCCCCCAGCTCTCCCAGCCTGGCTCCAGAGCAGAGGGAATCCAGCCCTGGGAGAATCCTGCTGGGATTGCTCTCCCCGAGCTGGGATTGCTCTGCCCCTGGAGCTGCTGGAAGGGTTTGGTTTGTGACTGGTTCTGTCCAAACATCTCCAGCTTTCTGAAGGTTCCTCTACTGCCCCCAAATGTTCTGTGCCTTCAAACTGCGCTGAATGGACAAAGGAAAATTTGTTTTTCCCGGACTTTCTGTCCCCTTTTGAAGGTTGAGCACAGAAGGAACAGTTCAGGAGGACCTGAGACAACATTATTTGCTTTCATATAATTATGTGACCCCTCTGAAGCTACAACAGAAAGGAGAACAAGGAGCAGAACTTCTTTTTTTTCCAAAAAGCGAACTCCAAATCCATCTTCCTTCAACACAAGCGACCTAAGCTACCTCCTTTCCCATATTTATTTATATATCATTTTTATTATATTTATTATATAATAAATATTTTCTATAATTTATTATAGAATATATATTCTATAATTTATTATAGAATATATATCTTATTAAAATATATATAATTTATATATAAAAATATATTATATATAAATAATATATACAATATATATATTTATATAATTTTTATTATATGTATCGTATAACATATATAATTTTATATGAATATATATAATATATAATGCACAGTATATTATAATTTATATTATATAATATATTAATATTATATGATTTATTGTATAGTAAATTATATTTTTATTATATTTATTATTTATTTATATTTTTAATATATATATATATTTAAATATTCCCCCCCCAGCTCCCTCAACTGCTCCTCATATTTTCCAGGCCCAAAATATCTATTTTCTAGACATAACCACGTCCTGGCAGTGTGCTGTGACAGATACACTGTTTTAATTTTAAAAAATATACTGAACTTAAGGTTTAATTTGACTTTTTCTTTAATTTTACAGGCTTCCCAAAGCCCCTGGAAGTGTCCAAGGCCAGGTTGGACGGGGCTTGGAGCACCCTGGGCTGGTGGAAGGTGTCCCTGGGATGAGAAGATCCTT